CCCCCCCCCCTCTCCATACATGCATCAGTTCGTAAACAGGCCGAAATTAAACCTGTCAGTAATTTCCGGTTGCCAATACAAAAAAAAATCAAGTATGCTTGTTTCGCGTGCGCGATTAATTTCCCTATAAATTTTGTTACGGTACTAAAAAAAAAAAGGGATATCTTCATCCCTCAGAGTCGTACCTTCGGTCTCCTCCCTTTACGAATTTCCAATCAACGAGATTTACAATAAATTCTTTATCGCCGGTAAATCTCCAAATAAATGTGTCTTCCTTTATTCCAGTCACCAGAAAAGTCATCTAGTGCGTAACGCTAGGGAATTTTCTCACGAGTGGCCGAGTGGGGCCATAAAGATTGTTTAAGATGCAACCCTGTCCCGCTCCCATGGGCGCTTTCGTGCTTCCTGCAAAAAATGAAGGGAACTCTCCCAGAATCCTAATCCGGTCGTACAGCACTCACCTACTCAGCGCCTCGTCCCGGATGACCTCATCCTACCAACCCGACCACCCCCGATCCTTTCTTACCCCCCCAATACTTTTTTCTACACCCACCCCCCATAGCTTCTTCATCCATTCCTCCATTTCCTTAACACACTCTTACATGAGATTCAACAAGTTTAACGATGAAAAAAATTAATCCAGTCAAAAATATCTTCCTTAATATAGTACAAGTATATAGGGTCTCTCAAGGCAAATATACCAACTGAAATTTAATACAATTTCTATTACATAGCCAACTTCATGCTGGTACGCTTATTCTGTATAATACTGTATATAGTATATATATATATATATACAGGTACCTATAAAGACAAGAGGTAACGAATGACGATGAAATGTTCTCAGTGTAAAACGGGGGATGGTTCATCCCGTATTATTTAAAGGGGAGACAAGTACTAAGTCGAGCATGGAATACGAATATTAATTTGTAAGATCTTAAGTTGGCAGCATCTCCTATAGGCTTGAACGATCTTACGTTACGAGCCACGCGCTGTGGACCAATGATGAACGAAATCACTTGGAGCGGAATTCTCTTGGCGACTTTAGGGTTAATTATCTTCTACCAGCGTTTGATTAATGTTTGAGTAACTAATGGCTGGGTTTTTGACGAGACAATGCACAAAGGGTGTACTCAAGAGAACCGACAGATGTTTCCAACCATCACGATCGATTGCCTTGTCAAAACGAGAGATGATTCTGCTTTCAAATGGTCCAGATATAGCCGCTCCCTGCTTCCCTTCCGCCTGGTCGCCTTATATCCCATAAATCGGAATGTGATTCTATCGGATTTTTCTTACACTACTTTTTTCTCTCTTCTCACTTTTCTTTTTTTCTTTTCCCTTTTTCCCTACCCCCTTTCTTGCGCCGTTTCCCACGTCATCTTGGAAAGCTTCGAGGGTACGACGAATATCCACACCGTAAAGTGGAAAATAAATGAAAATTCTCCCTGACACCGGTTAACACGGTCTAATCTGATTGGACGGACGAATGAGCCACGTGGTTTATTTTTTTTTTTTTTGATAATTCTTTTTTTTTCGAGTATCACTCTCTTGTTTGATACCTTAATTATATATTACGGACTACTAAATCATACTTCGCGGACACGTACAATAATTTTGTTACCAGTGAATCTGACTTAGGGCTTCTTTGCCTGAGCGTTATCTGCTTTTCGATGTTTTCTCGACCTATCTTCCAGCTCCTCGAGAGGATCGCACGGGAACAGGATGCCGGAGACCTTGTCCTGAATCGTCATAGGAACTCCCACGAGGATCCCCATCAGCCCTAGTACGGCTCTATTGTACGCATTGTATATACAATATTTGAAGTTTCCGACTTGGGGTAGTTTTATCTGAAAAAAAAATAAAGATGTTAAATAAAATAAAGTAAAATAAAATGGTTTAAAAAAAACAAAGGGATGGTAGTTAATAATAAAAAATAATCACATTATCGACATCCGGCATATCCGATATAGCTGGAGCCACGGTCGCCATCATGCGATAATAAAGATTTTCCGTATCTTTACTGTCCCCCCACACCCCCTCGGCCGAAGTCCAATAAACCAATCCCGCCGCCACAGCACTTTTCAAAAGTGTCTGAACCAGTTTCCCGAATTTTTGTAAACGCGTTTCCGGCGGCCCCTTTTGCGGACAATCGCAGACCTGTCAAACAAAATGATACAGAATTAACCACCTTCCTGTTCAATCATCCCAAACGAATTTTAATCCTCGATAACGAATGGCGCAAGGGTAGCTAATTTCTTTCCTCATTCTCCCCCAGCCAAACGAGTTTACTATAAATCCAACGTCCCGTTAATCGGAATTAGGGTCTCCTAGTCCCATACGGAAATCCGATTACGAGCACGGGGTCGCTTTGCCGTGGCGTCTCCTCGCTTCAGTCTAATCGTCGCAAAGCGATCGTGAACCTCCTCGACGCTGACATATGCAGCAGCCCTAACAAGTAACAGACTATTCCAGGAGCAGAGCTCCTCTATTAGAGACGGTGCAGTCCAGGCGACCGGTTTCCCAAATGCTTCATCTAATTTTGGCTAAATGCTGGAATTCAAGCGTGGGACGTTTGTGCCACGTCAAACGGACTCTGAAGATCCAACGTGGACCTCATAGAGTCGTGACGCCGTATTAGACGGGTGACGCGGAATATGAACGCCACTCAATGTAGAGCCTAGGGAAATTTTATTAAAAAAAAAAAAAAGAAAATTAATAGAAAAACTTAACAGTTGGCGGACAGGTCCTTTCTAAGTCTCTTCTGGAACAGATCCTTATTGATACTGGTCTTGATACCCTGTAGCTGGTTTTTCCGTGTCCTGGCGTCGGACACGGTTCCTTCACCACGCCGCTTACTAATTTTTGAACCTGACGAGGACGGACGCACGTTTTTGGTTTTGACAGGTTAATCGTCTGTGCGATACATTTCGTCGTCTTCTTCATTTTTCGGAGCAAAAGTTATTCAGGACTCGGGGAACAAATTGTGGTGTATATTTGAGAAATTGGACGAAAGGTATGGTAGGGATTTTTAAATAAATTTTTATCCTTTGTAACGAAAATTTATTCACATTTTACGATGTGCACGTGAATTTTGTCGTTGGTCACGAATTCTCAATAAGATCTTCTCTTTTTTTTTTTTGACAATCCCATGAAGCAAGGTCGAGCTCCAACCGATTCCTGCGACCCTAGCGGCAGAAAGGTAAACTTCTTCGAGGATGGAAGATAAGTCTGTAACAGGGACGGATGTCTGTGCCTGTAAAACTCGATAAAACTCGGCAGTCAACGAGGGTTCCTATTCCTTATTCATCAAGGCTGCTGAGAAAAATGTCTTGAAATTTCCATGTCACCCGTTCGTACATCCCTCAAGGTCCTGGGAACCTCATCCAGTGCATCCGTTCCGGTATTGCTAAGTCTGGCAGTAACGGCTGTGAAGGAACATTCAAATTTTTCTCTAATCCAAGAATTTTCAAAAACTTGAACGATCTATGAAAATGAAAATGAATATTTGATACCCTATTCTATAACCTATTTGTACTCAATTTTAGTATCGCAGGTTCGATATCTACCTTATAGAAATACAAGAATAAAGATTTTGTCCGGAAAATAGTTTTATCGCGACATAAATGTTTAGCGGTATTTATGAAGCGGACTGTACATGGACATAGCTTATATTTAAACCGTATCCTTTGCACGCAATAGAAAGCATAAATATTTTTTGTATGATCTAAAAAAGTAATACCCTGTAGCTGAGGGTAGCGGTACAGCGATAGGTAAAAATCGTCTAAAATAGGTCGAACTCGAAGAGGATTTGAATCCCTCGTATATAGAAGGGGGATTGAAGGGGGTGGCAGAGAAGTTACCATCCACGTGGCATATATCACTTTTATCGCAAGGAGCCACCAGCTCGGTATGTATATGCTTATTAATAGACACCCAGTACCCCTAAGGATAGGGTGAAAAATATGAGAGCGGGCTGTAGTTTAAAAATGAGAAAAATCTAGAAAACTCGAGGGTTCCCGAAAAAGAGACAAAACTCTATATATATATATATCAGCGAATATAAATGTAAGTCCGTAAAATAATCTGTGTGGGAAATCACCCTAATACGCGAATAAACACAATTCCACGCGTAAAAAACGTAAAAAGGCAGTGTGAAGGAGAGAAAATACCAAAAAAATATTTTAAAAACGTAAAAACCAAGGTAAACAATGGTAACTTGTGGTAACACCGAGTCATCCATATTTTTTGTTATTTGTCCATTTCGTTATCCCTTATCCCTCTTGAAATTTCGTCGAATGTAAATTCGAAAAATTGGAATATTTTTCATAAAAGAAAAATAAATTCCCCCCAAAAAAAAAGAAGGATAGGATCGAAAGATCCGTAAGATTACAGAAAAATGCGATGCACTCCAGCTGACATCTGGACCATTTACGAGTAGTTTCCATGACGGCCGTGAGTTGAGTCTTGATCAGGAAGAATTGATCCCTTAAAGGAAGAGGGGCCTGAAGGGGATGGCGGACTTTTCCGTAGATCCTCCTAATTACGCAAGAGGGCGAGATGGCGCATCGACGACAATCGAGACTCTAATAGCAGGAATAATTAATTTATAATTAAGAGGCCAGACTGCGCTGTCGTCCACAAGACTGTCATGGCGACCTCCCCTTTCCAGCCCCCCACCCGCTCGACCCCCTCAACCCAGATGGAAGCTCGGAGATCTTAGAAGAGCTACGCGACATAGCTCTGGCCCTTTTCTTATGGTCGACGAGAGGAAAATTAGCAAGTCGATCCGTAGCAGATATCTAGACGGATCGATGTCCCTAATTATTCCGCTCGACTGGCTTTACGCGGTAGGAACCGTTCAGGGCTGGTGAGCATGACGTACCTCGTTACTCTTACAGAGATCTAGTAGTCGGGAATACTAGCATGCAATTCAGGAATAATGTATAATCGATACAAAACAGCAGACTGGCAACGCAGTGGATCCTGAGCACCTGGATGCTTCTTGCATGGCTGAAGTAGTAATAAGAATCTAAAAATCTCCCTAGATGGCGTTGCTGTTCGACTGTCTTGTAATAAAAGTTTATTCCCTGACGGTCTGGTTCGACGTACATATCTATATATAGATATACAGGGAGATTCAGCCAGCCGAGGAATTGGCTGATTTCACAGTACAGAGAATAGAAGGTAGGTAGGGACCTTCGCGATGCTGGAGGCATCAACTGTGTCGGAAGCTGATAAGGGAGGCAAAAGGTAAGGCAAAGGCCCCGGCGCAAGGTCGACCTCGGGGATGCAGAGAGGATGGGCAGCGCAAGGTATCTCCGGGTGGGGAGCGTAGGAAACTAATTTTCGCGATATTGGTTTTATGAAATTGGTTATTGATGTTCTTTCGCCGTTGCGCCCGGCCAATAATGGAAGTGGAAAGGCGGCGGCCGATTATCTTCGAGACCGACGGGGATATCCAGTAGGATTCCTCTAACGGGCGTTAAATCGACTTTACCACCGGCTAATAACGTCTACACTCTACAGGCCACCATTCTCGCCCCTGTCGAACCAGTCGGTTCTAACTGGTTTTCAACGTGGTTCATTATCCGATTTATCGCCCATCTCGATTTTCGTCCAATCCTTTATTTCGCATGCAAACGTCACTTCCGGTCTAGAGTTGACAAAAAATTAACGGCCCTGTCCGGTCTGCTTTTCTGCTTTGGCCCCTCCCCAAAGGTTCCTTTCATTTTCATCCCTTTTGCCGCTTTCTTTTCGTCCTGCTCGTTTACCTTTTTACTTCCATCACTTGTTTTACCTTTTTCATAGAAATTTTCAAACCCCGCCTGACCTCAAACCCGGAACAGTCGTCCTTCTGGCAACCCTCCAAAAATCTCCCGACGAATCTGCGGGAACGAGGGATGCACGGAGGGAAGTCTCTTACCGGCGGTTGTGCGCTTTTCCATGGAATCACTAATTTTCCCAGGAACGCTTTGGAAACTGCTGTTAAAGCTCGTTTTCCCATTTCTGGTTAAGATACAGAAAATTTTTTTATTTTGCAATTCCACGTCCTTACGGAATTCCATGGAATCCTATTTTCTAGAACAAAATGCATGGTGTTCCGTTTTCTCTTGTTTATCTTGGACTCTGCCTAAAGTAGCAAAAAAACGTACAATTAGAAAAAAATTTATGAATTACCCTGTATACATATATTCTTAAACGTCTATAACAAAAAATCCTGAACAACGAAACGGCAACACACGGAACCTCCTGGATCAAATAATTTTCGTTATTTCCTTCAATTTACACAGCATCCCGTCACGAACTTATTCGTATCTGAAAAAAAGTCAATAGAAACCAAATGAAATAATCCACACGAGCACAACCAGTGCGCGAATCAATATATATATATTTAGAGAGCAACCATTTCAGTATCAGCATTGGAACAGTATTATATCCTGGAAAAGCAATAGGGTCCAGTGTCCGCTGTATGATTTGTAGTCAACTCGTAAATTAGGATTAATCGAGAATTTCGGAGGCTAGTTTGGGGCGTCGGGTAATCTAAGTTGAACGCCTGATGTAAGTCGAGTCCAAGTGTTTGGGTTTGGTTGGTACCCATAAGTCCAAATTCCGTCTGAGACTATTCCGTAGGAGTTATTGAGTCCTGGAGCGCTGACTGGAAACCTGGAAGTCGAAGGGGGTGGGTGAGACCGATTAGAATTTCCTTGAAAGGGTTGACGGGTTCCCCAATCTGATGAATGTAGTGTGAGGGTCGCTAAGTAAGGGTAAGTGTTTGCGTGCCTATGTACAAATATAGTCGAATGTACATTGGTGTTACGCACGAGCCCAGAGACGACCAAGATGGGGTCGAACTATGCGGTTCAACTGCCGGGACATTATTCATAGGTCGATTAGTTTCGCTTTTAGGAACCCTTTGAAGCGCCTGAGACGAAGACGTCCTAGAAAGAGGCCATTTGCTTCCTTTCAACATCCCCGCCGTCGGCTACATCCTGTCACCTCTGTTTCTCCACTTCCTATAATTCTTAAACTCAGCTCAACGGCCAACGGCGCTTTACTGTGTCACGTGGTACCGCACTTCCGGAATCTTTATCGCTGTTGGAAGACGACCAACTTATTTGAATCCATTCGATTCTCTTCATGCTCGACCTACCCTTAATTGTTTCTACTCCCCCTAAAATATCCGTACACGAATAAATATATGTAATCCATAAGCTCCCTCTACTTCCGGATACATTCGAGGGCCGGAGAGAAGCTAAATTCGTCTGAATAAATAAATATGTAAAATTACGTTAAAAGACTTTGGATTGACGCGTACGAAATTGTCGATTGACGAAAAAAAAAAGATTGCTAGTAACGTCGTTCGAGATTGGGGGTAGAAAGGAGCACGCTGACGGTATTCAGGGTCCGTCAGGGGTGTTCGTGAATAAGGGAAGATGACGCCGTAGAGAGGGCACCCAGGGACTGCAGGTAAATTGATCAGAAAAAGGTCCATTGTTAATCTTTCCTTGAAACGGGAGCCATTTTGGCTCCACCCCCCCCCCACCCCCCTCCCAACACATTTACACCCTCCTTCGCAGAAGCCTTCTCTCTCTTTTCCCGATTCTTTTCACCCATCCTCTTCCACATTCTACATTTATCTCCTCCTCCCCGCAGTACCCAAGAGTGTCATCCAACATGGTATAACGTAATTACAAGATCAATCAAAGGATCAGAAACACGTTAGCGGTCTCAACCCTCGCCCCTCTTCGAAAGTATCCTCGAACATTTTTCCCAGGAGCCCATGCCTGAAAAACAATATAAAAATTGTACAAATGGCATTCACTCTGATTCACCGAAAGTCTCCGGAAGACGGATCGGGGGCAAGAAGGAGAGAAAGAAAAGTACCCCAAAAAAATCGATCACGAGAAATAAGAAGAGAAAGACTAATATAAGGAAAAACAAAGGAGGAGCATATACTCCCCTGATTGAACTGGGGATAACGCGTCCCTTCGTCCCGGAAGGAGCACATAAATATATTTCCTTTTCCGTTGACTCAAAAGAGACACGCACCCAGACACCGATCCGAAAAAACAGCACGTACTATCCCATACACAATCGTATATACGTATTATGCTAGTCGAGTGTACGTAATCACGTACACTTACAGCCGCAGTCGTGTATATCCGCTCGCGGCGTAAGGGATGCTGGTACACATCGGGTCCAGATCGGTAACGCGAGCATAGGCTGTATATCATCCTTTCGCAGGACTTTAAATCAGGATAGAGGCTGAATAACCAAGAGTCGGGTCCCCGGGGTACAGCCTCCATGGAATTTCAAACGAAGTCGCGGGTTCTCAATCCTCTCAGTTACCTATATTCTTCTATCACCCCCCACTCGTCCGCCCCTGGCCTCTCTCTCTCTCTCTCTCTCTCTCTCTCTCTCTCTCTCTCTCTCTCTTCCAGAGCTTCTCACGCCTTCCCCGACATCTTTCTCAGCTCAAGACCCCTCGATTCTCCCCTTCCTCCCTCCCATCTCCACCCCATCGATCTT